TTTTTCTCCTACTTTTTCTCCCACTCCTCGATTGATTTGATTTTAGGAAAGATGCCAAATTATATTACAATTATAGCTGTGAATATGGTCCCTATGTAGAGGAACACTTTTCACGAAGAACCACTTGATGGCATGTGGGAGGAAGTTGTTCATCAAAAGTGCGAGCGGAGCCAGGTACACACTTATGCCCACCCTTTCTTCGAAATACCCACGTAACCATTTCCACGGTCTAGAGCAAACCAGCATTTACCTGGCTCTCGCCCGCTGTCTTCTCATTCCTCAATAGACTCTTGGACTTTCCTGACCTCACTCATTACTACTTCTGTTACTACTAATATTTATATCTCACACTTATTTCTATTTTGGTCTCAAAAGTCGCATGAGTGATTTTTCTAATTTTCAATTATAACAATTAAACTTTAAGTGTAAAAAAAGCATGAATAGGCGATTCTGAAGTATTGGATGGTCAGAACTTCCTTGTTGCTCATTTTCCTACAAGACAAGACAGAAACCATTATTCGCTATTTGGTTTGACGTACTCCCATACTCACCGCATATTGAAACCCCTTAAGCCCCATCGAAGAAACAATTACAGTGCCTCACTTTGAACGTTATTGACTCTTGAGTTACTGAGCAACTGTAGAGTTGTTTGAGGTTACAGTCAGTGATATTACAAGATAGGAAAGTAAACAGAGTTTAGGAGTAGGGACAGCTTCACTTCGCTCATTCACTCCAGTCTCCGACCACTTCGCCTGCTTACTTATGATATAGCCTCCGATAGAAACTTTTGTCAAACTCTCTTGTGCCGATGGTGGGAATCAGCACTGCTTCACATTCCCATCAAATTCTATAGTCCACAGATTGATGACCCCAAACTATTTCTGAGAAATCACTGCTTTGAGGCAAGCTTTGGAAAGTCTTAGTGGGTAACCGTCTCCTATTTCTGCTGCAAAATTTTTACTCATTTATACTTCTTTCAAGTTTGTTTCAGATTGACATTCCTAAGAGAGGAGGCTCATGGTATCTCGATCGGCACAATAAGCGCTACGAAGGAAAATGATGACGTGACAAGTTATCCTACGTCATGGTAAGTATCGCCTAAATCATTTCGAACCCTCGTTTGCCCATCAACGTTCATTCTCTAATATCCTCACCACTCAACAAATGCACCATGAAAAAGAATAAGTAAGCTTTGAAGGTCAGTAAAATTCAGTTTTTGCACATTGATCTTTCCTTAAGCTCATATGGTTGAAGGGAATCCCAGGAAGCTCGACTTCTTCTGAGAATTTCGTTCCCATGAGAACTCCTTTTTCATACAATATCCCCTATCTCTTCGCCTCTAAAACCTATTACCTATCCTGTTCATTACGAGTTTTCCTCGAAGTTTTAACTGAATTTCAGTACTATCACCGATGGGTAGTGTTCCTTCGACCACTAATTGGAAGGAGATGGCGGCTGTCACGTGGCGCATGTCTATGGATTCACATCAAAGGCTTTGACAGCACTGCGCCACTGCGTTACTACACACCAAATGGCAGATCGGAACCACATTTCGAGGTGACTTCAATGAACCGGATCAACCATTGCTTGAACTACGTGAAACTCATTCTTCGAGTGAAAGAGAAAGGGGAGGAGTTCGGACGAAAAGACATGTATGTGAGATGCTAACGCATGTTCCACTTTGCTTTGAATAGGTACACTTATGAGTTTCCCAGAATTCTCCGAGATTGAGCAGCTTCTTGCCCTTCTTTTCAACGACTCCATCTTCCTTTTCTGAACATTTCAAGCCCCGACGAAGGTAAAGGGCGGAGGGACCTATCGACTCATAAAAGTTCATCAGTTGCATGAAAGCTCAAAAACAAAAGCCCAAAATGGCCCTCAAATGTGGACCACCGTGGAGACACTTGGATCACATGTTTCCATTGCCTTCACCAGATGCGGCTGCCCCATATTTTCAAACATTGCGGTATGACTCCCTAGTAACTCTGTAGTAGTTTCTCAGCACACATTTATTTTGTTTGGGCCATGTGGTCTATCCTCTGGAGCAAAATTTATTTCACTCAGTTCATTAGGAGAGAAGTTTCGAAGGGGCAGGGACTAACTCTCCTGGACGTCTTCTACGAAGCTTTGTTCCTGGACTACCTATTCATTTCCCCTTTAGAAATGATGAGATAAGAGCTTGAGTCTAAGTTCCATGAAGTCTGACTCTGCCTTTTGCCCTTTCCGACAGCACACATTCAATCCGGCTATTTCTGTAAGCGGTATATTAGGGAAGGGAAAGGCCGATAGCCGGGAACTGACTAGAAAGCACCACAACACAACAAACCTCAGTCAGTCAAGTACCAAGAACTGACGATATCATAGGAGTTCGTTCGGTTGCAGGCTAGTCGACGTGAAGTCTCCACACTAAGAAGACAGACATGGAAAAGCTGTCGGCCTCAGAAAAAAGGAATAAAGGACTTCGAAGCAAACATCGTGCTAATGGGGTCTTGAGGACTAGCCACTTCAAGGCAAGTGTTTATAGGTGGAAAGGTGGTGCGAGGTACAGCTGTACCAGCCCAGCCAGGAGTCTCACCAAAAACACAAGTGCGATCAAACACAGCCGAGAGCACCATTCTCGCTCTACCAGCTATCAACGACATCTCCTGCTCAAGCTCAATCACAGGATAAGCTGTTATCGTAAGTTTCGCCACTTCATTCCATCTACGGGACGTTGTCTCTGCTTGTCTTTACCCATCTGACTGTCACAGCCGTTAACCAAAACCTCATGGTGCCCGAAGTCGGAAAGTCTACAGGACACATACTACCCTGGTTATTCTGCAACCAATATATTCAAGATGCAAGAGTGGTAGGTACACTGCTGTTAGCTGTTGGTCTTCCCGAACTGAAATCTTCCCAGGTTTTTCAGTTTTAATGGATGCCAGTGGGCTCACGTGAACTTCGTGACAGAAGAAGCCGGAATGTGTCGATGTTTCCTCTTCTGCAGCAGCTGTTATTTGGCATCCAAGACAGAAGGATGAAAAAACTGGTGAGCATCATTTATCACTTTTTTCGGACAAGGAGCCGACATCTTTTGTTTCTGTGAAACCCGAGCCATAGAAATCTCACACAGCTACATACAAAGATACCTCCTACACCAACATTCCTGGCCATTTTGCTATACGGCGGGGTAAGCGGGTGAGGGTGGGTAAATCAAGAGTGCGTTCAGTTGTTTTCCAACTATTGCAAATTTGACATCAAAAATGTTTACTGTCACATCTGGAACGCATCGCTCCTGGTGCCATCGCTAAGAGCACGTAGTGACAATTTTGAAAACAGATTGAACCTTTCTCAGATAGGTCATTACTGCTGTACCACTGAACTGTTTTTTAAGTCTTCGCGAGATTTGTATATCAGCTTAATTAGGCTGACGTTTCGGCGGAATCGCCCCTCAGAGCCGGTAAGGATCGTAACAATCTGTGACTGTCCGATCAGACGTCATTACTGCCCCTTCGAGTATTAAGACCCCAGGGCGCAAAAATAAATCTGGTATTTTACTTGATGTTTTGTTAACTGCTGTTTTAACGCCGCAGTAGGCGAAGCGAAAGTCTCACAAGGTTGGCGATTTGTGAGCAAAACTTCAGTCTCGGACGAGACTCGAACCCGTACTTGTCCTTTCCGGGGACCATGCTCTTATCCCTTACTATCTGTTACTATCTGGTATTTTAAATTCTTGAAAAAAAACAACTCATTGTAAGTAACATAACAGTTACGCCGAGATTCATGGAAAGCCGTTTTGGAAGTGATCATTGTCTTACGCTCCCTGGAATAAGGAAGCCTCTAAAATGTACTCAACCTGAAGGTTTTTTTATGCACGAACTGTCAACGATGTAAGATACTCCCCAAGAACTTCTAACTGTGAAAAAACCCATTTGGAGGGGGAGGGCGTGTTGATTATTTCAGTTTATGAGTAGTACTCAATTTGTCTTCTCGGCTGCTTTCAAGACCGGGAAAGCGGCTTCACAAAACCCCTTTTGAGAGATCTGTTATAACTATAACGGTCCATCCGACTCCTGCTCTTTTTCTGAATCCACTTTTTGTTGATCTACATGAAACAGGGACCCTTGAGACTTTGGAATAACACCAAAATCAACGAAACAACTATGGCCAAACTTGGGAAAGGGATAGGCGAAGCAGCTGCTACCCTGGGGTTTGTTAATATTTCAATCATTTTTCCACTTTTTAAAAATTCTATTTCAGATCGGTGGACAACTTACTCCTCATAGACGACCATGGCAAGTTTCTCATCTTTGACGACTTCATGGAATCGTACGATATTCTCATGGTCTACGGTGTTGTACATGTCGACATTGCGTTGGAGTGCGTCATCGATTGGTTTCAATTGAGCCAAGAATTCATCGCCGGTCCTCTTTTCCTTCACCCAGAACGGTGCACCACTGGTCGCCAACCTGCAAATACCGCTGTCAGTCATCTATTGCCTTCAATGCCTTCGTGCAACCGTGCCCCATATACATATCGCGCTCCGTCGCTATTCGACGAAGTACGGTATGCGTATATGTGACGTTTCACGTGGCCATTGGTCGGCATTTCTCGACAGGACCAGGCGGTATTCGCAGGTGTGCGGCTAGCGGTTTGTACATCTCCTCATGTGGCAGCATTGGTCGTCCTCTCCTCTATCCGGAGAACCGGTTCTATTCTATCGATCAAATGAAAATGTTATTAATTCTACTGACTGATTTAAAAGTAAGTAGACTGCACTCGTTCTACACACGATAGAATAGGACCGTTACTCCGGTGCTAGTGCATCAAACATCTTGTTTATACTCCTCTTCTTTCTGATGATGGAGACCGATGCAACACGAGAAAATGCAGACAATCCGTTCTACCGTACACCATCGAGTGAAGTGGAAGATACATGGAACCGGAACCGACGTGAATTCCTCTTCGACTCGATCGAAAACCACCGTACACGCACGCAAGGACATGTTGATCATCGCAGTCGTGGAGAACTAATCAATAAATCAATAACCTCTACGGTTAGACTCCACGACAGCGACAACACGTGTTATAGCACATGGACAGACACGGACAATTATTGATTAGTAGAATTTATTGATTGACCATAACAAGGCGATGCGCGGCCGGGCGCAACGCACTTGCACAGGCACAAATGACCAGAATAAGGGCAAGCCGTCACACGGCTTCTGAATTGAAAAATCAATAAATCGATTCTCATATATAATTAGCAGGAAAGACGAAGCCGCGTGTTGGCTGTACAATAGCGAACATATGTAATTACAAAATGAGCAAATTGAAAAGAAAAATAGAAGAAAACATGTGATAAGAGAGATGTGTAGATGAAGTGAGGCAGACGCGGCGAAGTGAACGTGGGCGGCATGATGGTAGATCGTTGCAGGACCAACCATGACCACCCACGCGTCGCGTCTCCGGCAAACTCAGTCAGTGACCACCTACAGTATACTACCGCAGAAGAAGTATGGTTATACTTAGCGAGGAGGAAGATGACACGCGCGTCCATTCGATCTACACTAATCGATATAGCTATGATTAGGCGAAGAAAATACCAGAACGTCGAGAATATTAATAAGCATCACATCACGAAAGGCTTTCTTCATTTCTTAAAAAGAAGCTGTACGTACGATGAATAGGGTCAGAAAAGGGCGATCAGATGGCAGCCAGAGCAATAGAATGAGAAAATGAGAGCAGCTCAGCAGCAGCAGAAATACACATATACACACGTGCATACACATAGAAATATATATTTGTCTGTATGTTTGATTGATTTTGGCTGTGTGTGTCTGTCTATCTTGTCTATACATATACATGACGGATGATGGTGATGAATGAATGAATCACGTTTCGTCTTCTTCAGCAATCTCATAGATTTCTCGAATCTTCCGTGCTTCCACCATTGCACGCTTCTTCGGCAATTCGACGTCATTGAAATCGCCATCAGCTAAAT